CTCCTCCTCCTCCTCCTCCTCCTCCTCTTCTTCTTCCTCTTCCTCTTCTTCTTCTTCATGTTTCTCTTCACCCAGGTGGTTTTTTTGTGTATGTGAAGGTGTTGATCTTTCAACTCTATTTTAGTCTGGAAAGTGTGACTTTAAGCTGTCAATGCTCTGTTGTTAGGGTTTATGTATGTGTGTGTGTGTGTATGTGTATATACATACATACATACATACATACACACACACATATATACATACACACATACATATATATATACACACACACACACATATACATACATATATGTGTGTGTGTGTGTATGTATATATATTATATACCGTATTTTTCGGACCATAAGACGCACCTGACCTTAAGACGCACCTAGTTTTTAAAGGAGGAAAACAGGGAAAAAAATATTCTAAACCTTCGGTCCATAAGACGCACTCACTTTTCCTCTCACTTTTTTTGGAAGAAAAAGTGAGTCTTATGGTCCAAAAAATACGGTACCTGGTTTTGACGTCCGACTGGCCTGTAATTTCCTGGATCTCCTTTGGAACCCTTTTTAAAGATGGGAGTGACATTAGCTATCTTCCAATCCTCAGGAGTGGAGGCAAATTTTAATGAAAGATTACATATTTTTGTCAGGAGATCCACAAGTTCACATTTGAGTTCTTTTAGAAATCTTTGATGTATGCCATTCGGGCCTGGTGATTTATTAGATTTTAAGTTGTCTATCAGTCGTAGGACCTCCTCTCTTGGCACCTCAATCTGACTCAGGTCTTTCAACACCTCTCCCGAAATCAGCGGTTCTGGAGTAGGAAAGCACTTCTCATCTTTCACAGTGAAGACAGAGGCAAAAAATGCATTCAGCTTCTCAGCCATTTCCCTATCATCCTTCAGTACTCCTTTTACCCCTTCGTCATCCAAGGGCCCCACTGCCTCCCTAGGTGGTTTCCTGCTTCTAATTTGAAGAAAGTTTTATTGTTGGTCTTTATGTTTTTTGCTATATGCTCCTCATATTCCCTTTTTGACTGCCTGATCACAGACTTGCATTTTATTTGCAAGATCTCTTACACATAAACTATTCCGCAGAAACATATCCCCCATCCAGTATTTGTGTTTGACGTTTTTGTGGCCCTGATGTAACACTGTGCATTTATCTTTCTTGAATTGCATCCTGTTTACAACTGCCCACTCTCCGGAGTATTCAGGTCTTGTTGAATTTTAACTCTATCTTCTTGGGTGTTTGCTACTCCTTCCAATTTGGTATCATCAGCAAATTTAATGAGTAGCCCTTCTACCCATCCAGATCATTTATAAAAATATTGAAAAGTACTAGGCCCCAAACCGAGCCCTGCAGCACCCCACTGGACACCTCCCTCCAATCTGATGAAACACCATTGACCACCACTCTTTGGGTGTGGTCCTCTATCCAGTTCCCTATCCACCAAATTCTATAGTCCAGTCCACAGTCTTCCAGTTTGCCCATCAGAATGTCATGGGGAACCTTATCAAAAGCTTTACTGAAATCCAGGTAAATCACATCAACAGAATTCCCATGATCCAGTAAGCTCGTCACACGATCAAAGAAGGAAATTAGGTTGGTCTGACAAGATGTTGGGGACAAAACCATGCTGACTTCCCCGGACTTCCCCATGCTGACTTCACTAAGTGGTCCTTCAGATGTTTACAGTCCCTTTAAAATCTGCTCTAATATCTTCCCAGCAACAGAAGTCAGACTGACTGGCCTGTAGTTTCCTGGGTCATCCCTCTTCCCTTTCTTAAAGATTGAGGTAACATTTGTTCTTCTCCAATCTTGTGGCAGATCCCCAGTTTTCCAGGAGGCCTTGAAGATGATGGACAGAGGTTCTGCAAGTTCATTAGAAAGTTCTTTGAGCACTCTTGGGTGCACACCATCTGGCCAAGGGGATATGTATTCATCCAGTGCAGCCAGGTGCCTCTCCACAACCTCCCTGTCAATGTCAACTGGACATTTTGCAATCTCTTTCCTAATAAACCCCAGGATGGACTTTGTCTTTGTCACCACTGCTGCCCTTCATGTCGACATTTTCATAGCTATCCATTATAACCCCAATTTCTCTTTCAGTCTTGCTCTCAGCCAGTTCAGAACCCATCAGCATATATGTAAAGTTAGGATTTTTGTTCCAAAGTACATCACCTTATACTCACTAATTTTAAACTTCGTTGCTTTATTGTTGCTCTCTCGCCAAATTTAAATTCCTGTAGTTCTTCAATCCGGTTTGGTTTTCACCATTCTGAATAATTTGGCATCATCTGCCAATTTGGCCAGTACATTGTTCACCCCTAGTTCTAAATCATTTATGAATTAAATAGCACAGGTCTCAACACTGATCCTTGTGGGACTCCACTGTTTACTCCCCTCTACTGCAAGAATTGTCCATTTATTCATATTCTCTGCTTCTTATTTAACCAATTTTTAATTCATAAGAGGGCCTGTTCACTTATCTCATGGCTGCTAAGATTACTCAGGAACCTTTGGGGAAGTACCTTGTTAAAAGCCTCAGAACATCTACTGGCTCATCCTCTTCAACAAGCTATTAAATCTGCTTGAAGAACTTCAAAAAGGTTGGTGAGGCAGTACACTACTTTGCAGAAGCCATGCAGATTCTCCATCAGCAGGCTTTTTTCCTCGATGTAGGTAGCTCTATATTTAACAACAGTTTCTACTTATTTACCTAGAACAGACTGTAGGCTAACTGGCCTGTAATCCCCTCTGGACCTCTTTTCAAAGATTTGTGTGATATTTGCCACTTTCCAGTCCTCTGGCAGTGGCTGATTTTAGTGACAAGTTGCATATAGAGCAACAATTTCATATTTTAGTTCCTCAATATCCCTTTGGCTTCTGGACCTCAAAACTTGTTAGTTTTCAGTTTGCTTAGTACTCCTAGAATTTCATTTTGGAATGCAGAGCCTCTGTTTGATTGTTTGTTTAGCCAAGACTATAAAATTATTACTTGCTTAGGAGCATTCTTGATTAAAACATTCGTGCAACTCAAACATAAAATACCATAAATGTTGAAATGCATCTACCCACATCTGTCTTGAATTTAAGATGAAGGTGACAGCTTACACAATCAGTGACTTTAAAGGAATAAAATGGTTACAGCACCAACATTTACAATCTTACAGCTAAATGTGGGAAATGAATGCCTGAGCAGCATAAAAGATCTGTAGTGTGGAATCAATTCAAAACATTTGTTACCTGACTACAATGCTAGTAACATTTTTCTGAATCCCGAGCGTATCATAATTGTTAACAAGTTTGCATTGGCTCTACAATGGAGGCTTGCCACAGTTTAGCAACTACCTGCTGCTGCAACAAGTTTCAGAAGCAGATTATGAAACTCAGGTCCACCAGGTATGTGAACACAATAGGGCTATTATCAGAATCACCCACATGATTATTATCAGAATCACCTTAAGCACTATATCTTAAAACTCTGAATCTTGATTACTTTACAAGTAAAAGTCAAGGTTTCCGTTGCTCAAAAGCCAGTTGAATCCGACTCTAGGGGGTAGTGTTCATCTCCGTTTCCAGCTCTGTCCAAGGACTTTTCCGTGGTTATGTGGCCAGCATGACTAAACACCGAGGTGCATGGAACGCTGTTACCTTCCCACCGAAGCGGTACCTATTTATCTACTTGCAATTTCTTGCTTTCGAACTGCTAGGCTGGCAGGAGCTGGGGCCAGAGACAGGAGCTCACTCCATCATGTGGCATTGAGTCGCAAACTGCTGAGCTACCGACCTTCCAGTCTGCAGTTCAATGTCTTAACCTCTGAGCCACCGTGGCCCTTTTACTTTGCAAGTAATGCAGAGGAAAAATAATAAAGATTAATTGCATCAAAAACCATTGCTGGTTCTGTGAAATACTTCACTGCTCTTGTTCTTTAAGAATACTAGTGCATGTTATTGGAAAAAAATTAAAATCAAATTAAATGTATAAAGACACCTGTCCACCACATGCTCCATAGAAATGTGCTAAAAGTAGATTTAAAATGATATAAAATGTACAAAATGCAAAATTAAACCTTTACAATTAATGTTCTGAGAATATTACCAAGTTCATTATTCAGGCCGTTCCATTTTATTTACACCATCCATTCCCAAACAAGTTAACTTTACATGAAATAATGTTCCTTTTTTCACAAAATATTGTACCAAAAAGTTTATAATTTGCATTTGAGTAAACAGTTTCTTATCTAGTTTATACATTTTCCAGGCTTTTTGCACTTCTAAAGTAAAAGTGTAACTAAAAACAGTTACATCAACTGATTTTCGCACATAGAAAATGTTGAAGGCTTTGTGCATTTGTATATTTTTGTCAAAACAGTTAATGTATACAATTATACAATTTTACATTTTGGCAAAAAAGAAACATCAAAATCTTTACTTCAATATACCTTTGATTTTTTCATTTATAAATCTATAATATATTCAACACACTACAATAATAGTTATTTTCTTTTGCAGTCTTTTAAAATTTGTTTGCTTCAGAAAGATAATTACAAAGCTAAATACTATGTGCTGGGGAAAAATCAGCATCTTTGGACTCAATGAAACAAATTCATTGTTAAGAGTAAATAGTATTATTTATCTGCTTCCTATAATCTTACTTACATTTAAACACACATAACCTTACAAAAGAAAGATCCGGTATCCTATGCCAAACATTCTGATAACTCTTCCTATTAACACTAAAGCTGTGTGTATGAAAATTTTAATATCATCCTTATATAGTTTTATGAGGAAAGTATTCACACAATATTTGCATATTTTGAAAACGGGCTCAGAGTTAAAAATATATATATTCTGTATATCTCTTGGTTTAAGGGTGATTCTGCCATCCTTATGGCAGCAATTCAAGCATGGAAAGTCCCAAAACAAGGTTTATCTTTTCGGGTCTCAGATCTGTAGACAGAATTCAAACTGTAACAATGATAAACTAGGATTCCAGGAATTAGGTAGTGATGGTGACTCAACTGTAAGGATGCCTTACAAAATGCCTCCACCAGCAACTCCCATTATAGCATGGGAATCTGCTTCAGAGGTGAGAGTTTGTTTTACACTAAGGCAAACCATATTCACAGCCAACTTGAAGCAGGACTCTGGCAACCAAAGTTCTGTTTATCAGACTAAGACATGACATCATAAGACTTCCATGTGTCTTTACAGAAAAGTAAAGGAAAAGACCCATGTCCACCTACCTACACGGGATGAGGCATTATCACAAATTAAGAACACTTCAGCAACATGCATATTATAAATGTTTACAGAATCTTCTAAGATTCTTTACGCAAAATACTAGAAGGAACTTGTTAACCTTTAAGGCATCAGTGCATCAAGGACTAAAGCTCCAAGAAATAAATATAAACAGTGGGAAATGTCACTGTGATGCTAGCTGAACAATCATCATACTTTACATCTGTCAACTGCTTTTAAAATATTTTCCATGGAAAATACAGAGATAACACCACATTAGACCATGAGTTTTACATCATTTTTCAACACTTCACTGAATGAGCTAAATCGATCAGGCAAGATTCGCATCTTTACTGTCCCATCAGCTCCACATGAGAATATGTGATTTGCTGGTCCTGTCTCAATCTGCATGACACCTGTCCCAAGATTTCTGAAAATAGACTGTCGAGAATGTTCGTTGATAAAAGTATGAAGAAGACCGACGTTAGACAGACTCCATACCTTTAAAAGAAGGAAAATGTTTTCTTTTAAAGAGTTTTCTTTTTACAAAGGCATTACCGTTTGTTCATTCATGATCTGTACTGGTCCTATTAAAATTATTTCATGATCATCAAAACTCACATAATGAAGAAACAGGAAAAAATTAAGATGCTAGAAATAGGTGGCAATGCTATAATGAACAGGAAAAATTACATTTACAAATAGCTAAGTGAAACATTACCTTTATATTCCCTTCAGCAGATCCTGTGACAAAATAGTCTTCTGTTGGATCCACAGCAATTGCTTTAACTGGAGAATCATGACTCTGGAAAAGCTGTCGTTGTTGCTTTTGGCGAAGATCAATTATACAGGTATAGCCTTTTCTGCCCCCTGATATTAACAGCTGATGTTTGGGGGCATATGCTAAGACAGTTGCTCCAGTATCATGACAGGTAAAAGCTGAAATCCAAGAAGCAGGGAACCTGTGAAGACTTGTGGGCTGGGCAAGCCTTATTTCCCTCCCCCACTAGCCACTACAACTCCTCCTTTTACCTTACTTTCCCCTTCCTCTAGATCTACTTCTGCCCCCTATCCCCTCTTTTCTTCCCCCCTCATCCACACCCCTGAGCTTTTTTCTCTCCTGTTCTGGCTCCACTATTTTCCTTCATCCACCTTCTTGTCATGACTTCTGAGTTTGCAAATCAACCCCCAGACTACATCACTGAGCCCCCCTGCATCAATTAAAATCTTGCATGGTCTTTTACAAAGGATCAGGTGAATGTCCTACCACTCAAAGTTTTTTAAACTGTCCTGCAATTTCCAAAGATTTTCAGTAAGGTGGGGAGGGGGACTCCACAATCTTACTTGGGGCTGCCTAGCAACCACAAATGGCTGTTAAGAAATTATGAGATTGCCTAGTGATCTGAACTGCAATTTTGAGTTGGGAGACAATGCCATACAATACTGATAATGCCTCTTGTGTCACATGGAGTGTTCTATGGGATTGCTCAAAGGCTAAGGAGCCCACTCCCAAGCACTGGGTGAAGCAACATTCACCCAATGTTTGGTAAAGGGTCCTATCAGCAAATTCTACAGAACACTGTAGCCAAGTCAGGAGGCTTCAGTGATGTTGTACTGGGTTGCCTAGCGACCTCAGTATGGCAGCTGATTTCTCACAATATTCAGGTTTTTCAAAATTTACAATATCTTTGCTTTTGCAAACATTGATCTCCATTTTTTTAAAGCTGGGCTCCCTCCAGATTTGCAGAAATCTCCCCTAGTCCTGGGTGCCTCCCACTGTGCAGGACTTTTGATCTGCAAAAGGAGCCATCTATGGGAAGCGGGAATATATTACCAGCAAAAATTTATAGGGGGGCATCTCATTTTTTGCTCCCCATTCCCCCCCCCCACCTGTGAGAATTATGGCTGAGTTGCACAGTACTAGCTGCCAGTGTTCCCTCTAAGCTGAGTTAGTGTGAGCTGGCTCACAGTTTTTTAGCCTCCGGCTCAGACATTTTTGTCTTTGCTCAGAAAGGATGGCTCCAGAGCAGACTAATTTATGCAGTAACCAAATGGCTGGCTCACAGCTTTAATGCCAGTAGCTCACAAAGTAGAATTTTTGCTCACAAGACTCCACAGCTTAGAGGGAGCATTGCTAGCTGCTGGGCCACACATAGCTGGACCTAAATGTGTGTTGGGGAATATGCAAAGACTTGTGGAGGGCAGTTCACCTGTATCCACTCCCATTATTTTTTCTTTTCTTTCTCCTGGCAGTCCCCATATCCTCACCATTCCCTCCTTTCCTACCCACCCACCAACATATCTACCTGTCATCTTCCATAATATTTATTATTTTCTTCATTTGTATCCCACCTTTCTCCACAATGGGGACCCAAAGAAGCTTCCATCATTCTGCTCTCCTCCATTTTATCCCCGCAACATCTCTGTGAAGTAGGTTAGGTTGAGGATATATAACTGGCCCAAGGTCACCCAGTATACTTCCATGGCAGAGTGGGCATTGGAAGCTGGGTCTTTTAGAACCTAGTCTGAAACTCTAACCACTATAACTCGCTGGCTTTTGTGAGACAGCTGCTGTTGAACAGTAGCAAGCAGCTGAGCCTAGGTGAGTCATGCAAGTCAGATGGTATCAAGTTGCCCTGTGGTTGCTGCTATGCCCAGCCCTGATGAGTCCTCCCTCAAAGGACAAAACAGCCCTGGAAAGGGTCCTCCCTCCCTCCCTCCGCCTTTACTGACAGAAATCTCTTGAAGTCTGGTAATACTATCGTGGTTGCCTAACAAACACCTTAACTACCACTCAGAGGGTAATTCCTTCATTACTGCTATGGGTGCTGCTTTTACTATTGGGCGGGGGTTAACCCTCTATTTATTTTTCGGTTTCAGATTTGTCTGCTAGCCTGGGGCCTTTTCTCATGTTTGCAGAAAGATCTATCTTGTCTGCTCGTGGCTACAATATCCCCAATTTGGCCATGCAGAGAATTAGATACATTGATGTTTAATTACGTATTGAATAGGAGATGGTATACTGAATAAAATCACTTTGCCTAAAGCTAAGGTGAGATCAGATGTCTGGTAGAGGTTTGCCAAAAGTATCCAATACTACAAAACTGTCAGTTACAGAACAAAGTTCAGAGAAAAATCTTCTCTTTTTCATATCCCGATTTATAAGATCTCATCATTGAAGCTAACTCCTCTGATACTCTCTTGCACTTAAGCAACATCCCACACATATTTAACATATGGATATTCCATGTCAGTTAAAATGAAGTATTCAGTGTTTATGCAGAACTGGTGAGACTAAGACCAGATTTTCAATGTTTCGTTCCAGTTCGCAGAATTGTAAACACAGCTCTTCTTCCAGAAAGCTATAGAAGACATTAATTATGTGTTAGGTGGGCAGGGTAGGAATGGGAGGGCCCACTGAGTTTTATAGTTTCCCCTTCCACTGCTAAGAAGAAGAGACATCACACACAAGACAGCAGGGGTAGTTACTAGATTTTCCCTCCCTACACAGCAGGTTTTTGTGCTTGTTATGCAGCATATCCATGTGGAGAAGCCCTTTTCCACTAAAATGGTAGACAAAAATCAAATATTTTAACATTGGTTTTACTTAATTGCTGGAGAATTATCCTTACAGGAGGCTGCCCACTAATTTCAGCACAACTGTCCCCATCTTATGGCCAGTTTGGTGTACTGGTTAAGAGCGGCAGACTCTAATCTGGAGAACTGGGTTTGATTCCTCACTCCTCCACAAGAAGCCAGCTGGGTGACCTTGGGTCAGTCAAAGTTCTCTCAGAGCTCTCTCAGCCCCACCTACCTCACAGGGTGTCTGATGTGGGGAGAGGAAGGGAAGGCAATTGTAAGCTACTCCAAGACTCCTTTGGGTAGTGAAGAGTGGGGTATAAAACCAACTCTTCTTCAATTATATTGACTTTATATTTAAAAAGTAGTAGCAGTGTATTGGAACATACCTGCCCCCCCCCCAAGACGCAAGAACTTTGTTTCCCACGTTAATGAACAATGCAGGCAGCCATCTGGGTATCATCATCATGATTTTTAAAAAGTTTTTAAAAACCTTAAAATTTTATCCATATAAATACTAACTCATACATTTAAACTTACCGTGCACTAAGCTACTAGAAGGTGCAACCAAAGTATCCCACAGACAAATATTTCTAAAAAGATAAAAATAATCAAGGATGTTACTTCTAAACTAAGAAATAATCACTAGCTTTAAACAATTTCATACAAACTGTGGACTGATTTACCAATACATTTATGAATGAGAAGTCTTGAAGCCCTATCATGCCTGGCCTTAGATCTGAGGAAGCGTTATGTTGGACAACTGTCCATCACCCAGACAGAGAACACATTCCTTGTGCTCATCATTTTGAGCCATCTTTAATTCTCACTGGAGGCATTTTTTTTAACATAAAGCCATTTTCCACTCACAAAGACAACGGGCAGGAGAAAATCAACAAAAAACTCACAGCTGGAATACTTCTGTCCTTTCTCCATGTTGAAGAAAGAATTGAGGAAGGAGCACTCTCCCTGCCTCCATCACATGACTGTTTAGGTGGGAAAGTTCCAGCTCTCAGCTGGAGGGGAGAACTCCTAGCTGTAAAAACAGTTGGAAGCTTGCGGATCTATTCTCTGCAGCCAGCCTGTGTGTATGCAGTCCCGTTTGGGACTGTACTGAAGACATGATGATGAACTATTGGTTCATAGCTAATTTGCAGCTTCGGGTGGAGAGAAGGGGAGGTTTCTGCTGGGTAAAAGCACATTTCCCAAATTTTCTAAACAGCTCCATGGGACAATTAATGCACGGGGGGAAAAGTGGGAGATCTTAATCACAGATCACTCATGTCATACTTAATTTAACCATCAAAGAAGCATAAAAATAATTTGAAGTGTAGCAAAACTTGGCTGTCACTACGGAACAAGACAAGACAAAAGTCATGTGTGCTTTCAAGTGGATTTGCTGGATTGCAGTCATGGCAAGTAAATGAAAAATTAAGGTGTGTTATTGGCAAATATGTATGTTAGTACATATTTGAACAGTTTATCCTTCAACTGCTAAATGTACAGGCCAGAAGCCTTAATCTCTACAGGCTTCCTAATGTGGTCTGCAATATACTGAACTATCTTCAGAACTATGAAGCAGATGCCCTTGGTGTTGCTTCCCACATCTTCATTTGCATTTGTAGCATGGGTGTCAATGTGAAGACTACAGAAGAGAGTGCAGGGGATTGTATCAGAGCAGCATAGGGTTGCCAGCTTCCAGATGGTGGCTGGAGATCTCCTGCTATTACAACTGATCTCTAAGGGATAGGTATCAGTTCACCTGGAGAAAATGTATGCTTTGGAAGGTGGGATCTATGGCACTATACCCCACTGAAGTCCCTCCCCAAACCCTGCCCTCCTCAGGCTCCATCCCCAAAATCTTCAGGTATTTCCCAACCCAAAGCTGGCAACCCTAAGCAGCACAAGCATGGGATTTACAATTAGTCCGCATTTGCAACTAAAAGTAGTGGCATAGTGGAGGATTTGAATGAGAGAAACCTTTAAGTTAGCAGGAGTGGAGGGCAAGCAATCCCATGTGGGAGAGGGTTCAGATTTTGGGGCACATGAGAGCTCCAGGATTTTTGGTCTAGATGGAGGAGGACGGAACTTGGCGTAATATGCACTGGTGGCACTGGTCAAAGGCAAGATGTGGAAGTGTGGGCAATGGGGACTGGATGGCACGTAGTATTGAAGTAAAAGAGACCCATACATAAGTTATAATCAATAAACAACAAATATAAGCAATAGCAACATTCAAACAAGGAAGCCAGCAGCAGTAAAAATTACTTCAATAAGTGACAGATTAAAAAAAAGGTAGACAGATTAAACAAGGATAAATAAGCAGCTGAAAAACCCAGACAATTTAAATGAGGAAGTAATGCTACTGTTGGAGGGTGCTTGGAAGGGAGGGAACTAAAAAAACTACTGTTGCCATTTCCCCAAACAGGTAATCCTGGGTGTGAAAAAATATGATGTACACCAAATCTAGTCCATATGAATTTGTTACTCTTGGTCTATGTTGTAACATCTACCTCCTCCACTCAGATGGCTGTTCAAATTCAATTTTCTCAAATTCTAAAAATTTTGTCGCTCTCACAGGAATCCCAGCTCCCAGTTGGAGAGATTAAGAATATCTCCCTCTCTATGAAGTATTTATTTACAATACATTGCTTTGTTACAGACAAATATCAATTCAAGTACAAAAGGCCATATTAGCTGGGGGGGGGGGCACTACTATAAGGAAGGGGAATAAGATGAAGTGACCTCTTCTCCCTCTACTGTAAGCAGAGCTCTACAAAGTTAGAGAAAAGAGCCCCATCCAACTATACCCCAACCCATCCCATATAATTTTTTGTCCAGGTAGATTCCATTATTCCAGGCATCATTTTTCCGGAGTTAAAGGGGGCTACTGGATGATGCAGGGAAAATACATTTCTGCTAGGGCCTTCCACAGGCAGTTGTTTGGATGCAACTCTGGAGTATGTTTTCTATCTGAATTTACTCCAGTGAATGTAGAACAAACCAAGGATAACTGGAGCCACAATTATCCTTGGTTGAGTCACGTGTGTTTTAACATCTTATTTTACACAGCCCTTAGATCTGCTGTACAAATAAACAGATGAAGTAGAAATACAAAATCATAACAGAAGTAAAAAAATCAAATGGATAAATTCTTAGAAGACAACCACAGTCCAGTACAAATTAACCAGTAGTTTTCTCAAATAAACCATGTCTACCCACTATAATCGTGAAACAAGTTTTTAGTACCTGTTGTCAGTAGATTGCCCAGCTGTGGCTATCAAAGATGAAGAACTTATGAAAACAAAATCATTGGCTGTTTTGTTATGGCATTGCCAAGTCTGGAAAATTACAGAACACAATTAGTAATTAAAAGATGTGGAAAACAAATGAACATAGGATTTTATTTTATAAATAATCATTCGTTTTATAAAGAATTATTTTATAAATAATTACTTATAATCAATAACCAGAAGTTCTTTCTTAATAGGAAACTTTTACTATCTAAGGTTCAGGTGGGTAGCCATGTTGGTTTGAAGCAACAGAATAAGGTTTGAGTCCAGTGGCACCTTTAATTCTGGCTATAAGCTTGTGCATGAAATTAAACTTTCATGTGCATGAAATTAAACGTTATTGGTCTTAATTAAACTTTGTCAGTCTTAAAGATGCCACTGGACTTAAACTTTGTTCTTCAGCTATTTAAAGAAGCCAGTTCTAAGAGTGGCTGGGAATCAAAGAGCTACTATAGGCACATCCAAGGACTTTTGACTTTTTTTGAAGAACAGACACTCAAGATGCACCATTATTTACATTTGAAAGTAGATTCAGGTGGGGACTGGGGAACTGATGTTACAAAAGCACAATTCCACCTTGGCTGTATGAACTTATGATATTGCCTGCTGTGTCAGACTATGGATCCTTACAGTTCAGTACTGTCTATTCAGAATTCCAAAAGATCTCTTAATTGGAAATCTAGCAACTCAATATAAAACACAGAATTTGATTCAGAATAAATTTTCCAATGGAAGAATGGAGCTTTCCTATCTCCCCCTCCCACTACAGGCCACTGATCTCTAAAAAATGCTGCTCCTGGGGGACAGCAGAGACTGAAGGATGACATGAGGGAGGGGGGTCTGCAGTTGGATGGGGCTACAGTGCAATTTAGATGCAAATGAAATTCTTTACACAGTGAGTGGTTAAAACGTGGCATATGCTGCCCGTGATGGTAGGGCTGTCAGGTGCGATGGTCACACCAGCGGAGGGATTTGGGGGCAGTCCGGGAGTTGGGTGGTGACGTCCCATACACAATGACATCACACACAATTGACATCATCACGTTAGCGATGATGCTCTGTTTTTTGAGCAAACTCTATGGTTAAAATTGGGCTCAAACCAGAGTTTTGCCCTAAAAGCAGAATGTCTCTGCTTGATGTCACTGATGCGATGACATCACCGTGTCAGGGACATCACCGGGCAACATTGCTATTTAGGGCGGGGCTTCCCCCACTGGCCAGCTGGCCGGCAGCAGGAAGAGGCCTGAAAATCAGAGGATCTCTCACCTGGACTGGGGGTCTGGGAAGCCTATGTGATGGCCACAGCCATAGACAACTTTAAAAGGGGATTAGACAGATTTTTGGAAGGTAAGGCTATTAGTCACGGTAACTAAAGGGAACTACCACATTCAGAGACAGTAAACCAGGAAGCTACATCAGCAGAAGCCTTAGCCTCTATGCCCTAGTGTTGGCCCTCTATAGGAAATGGTTGGCTACTGTATGAAACATAAGGCTGGTCTAGATGGGCCACTGGTCTGATTCAACAGGGGTATTTCTATGTTCAAGCCAAAGTCTACTACTGTACCATACTCTCTCCCTACAGTGTTCAGAAACTAATCGGATCATGACAGGAGCACAGATTTTGTATGATCCTCAAAACTTGTTGAAAATGTTAAATATTTGGGGTGAGCACCTCCAGCAGAAAAATAAGTCTGTTTGTAGATACTTTGGGCTCCCTTGTCCTACTGAAAATGAAAAGAGTACACTCACACAAGTAGTTTTAGGTAGTGCTTATACAGCCTTAAATCTCTGCTGCTCTTACTATATAATTGGTTGAAAAAATGCAGAGGTTGAAGTCTCATATGATTTCTCTGCATTTTTTCAACCACTTATATAATAGGAGCAGCAGGGATTTAAGGCCCTATAAGCTCTACCTAAAAGTACCTGTGGGATTAGGCCATCTTCATCATTCCCTATTTTCCAGCTAAGGTTTGGCTCCCAAAGCAGCTTTCAGTAATTAAAATATGGACAAACGCTATAGTCCTGGCTAAAACACAACACTAAAAAGAAAGTGTTATAATTAAAGAACAACTTTTTTTCTTTTTCTAGCTCACCAAATATGGTTTGGGTGTGCTTCCTGTATGTAAGGAACTTTTCCAGTTTGTCTGATACAGACTTATATATCCATCAGCATCAACAATCCCAAACTGCAAAGTTTGAAAAACAGAGTTATTTCTTTCATAAACAAAAACACCACATATATGCCAGGATGAAAAACTATATTAATATATACAGCCTTACACCTTCATATTTAGCATTTGCCAACACACAAAGCAAAAGCCTTACTTCCATATTACGTTAACCATTAACCATAAACCCCTCAATTACACTGAAGTGAATTTTAAAGTTTATGCTTGTGTGGAAGTTCTACATGCATATTTTGAGTTCTCACTGAGCTTCAGATTTCATTACATGTCAGATGAAAAGATAATAAAAATTGCTTCACTTTCACCAAAAATGTTACCAACATGTTTTATTTTAAATCTCCCAATCTGCTTCAACAAACTCTCCTACATAAAAATCCACAGATTTTCTTCTACAGATCACTTAATTTTTGTTTCTGGTACCTTGTTAGAAATATGGGGATTTAAAATGCTCATTTGCTTCTGCAGTATGTTACAGCATCTTTACGACCAGCTGTTATCTTCTGACCTGAGAAAGTTATATGCCAAGTGTTGGCACCTACTGTCAAAATCTAGGCTAAGACCTAAACCTAGTAGGAAACTTTGTTCTTGTTCATAGCAAGATTTTCTGTGCTGATAGTTGTGTCAACACGGAACTCATGTATTCTCTCTCCAGTTTCTTTACACACCTGTTATGATTTCTAAAGAAGTCTGGGCATTGCTGCATTGGTGTAACATGACTTTTGCTTCAGGCCATTTTGGCTATTAGAGCTGACAATTTAACTGTTTTGTAGATACTGAACAAGTTATGTACCACGTTAAAATCAGTAAGATAGCTAACTGCATAGGATGATACAGCTAGTGATATATCCGATTTAAACAAAAAACACAAGGATTTTCCTTAACAGCTACTTTTTATTTGATTTTACAATACTTTGCAATAGTGTGATCTGTATGACTCCTGTGACAATGGAACAAACCAGCCTTTTATTTTGTAAGAGACTGTGGTACATTACCTTATTGCCCTGATAATTGAATCTCATCCGCGTAATCCTAGAGTTGCCACCAGACCGGAAACATGTAATTTGCTGAGAATGGCCCCATTCAAACATTCTCACACTACCATCCTGAGCACCTGTCAAGTCTGCAAAAGAAAATAAGAAACAACAATATATTTATCTAAGTGGTGAACTAGCCAACAAATGGGTGCCTGAAGATCATACTTGGAGCACAGAGACATATGGAAGGAGATGGTCCTTCAAATATGTGGGTCCGATGGTCATGGTCTCTACACGGGGCTGCCCTTGTCGCAAATTCGGAAGCTGCAGCCAGGTTTCTGATGGGCCTCCCCAGGTGGGAGCACATTCAGCCTGTGCTGAAGACATTCCACTGGCTGTCAATAGCATACCGAATTTGCTTCAAGGTGCTGGTTGTTACCTTTAAAGCCCTATGTGGCTAGGGTATGACATAACTGAGGGACCGCCTTTCCCCATACATACCCCAGAAAGCACTACAGTTGGGGTCTCAAAATCGACTGACCCTCCTGGATCCCAAGGAGGCCACACTTGCTACTACCAGGGCCAGGGGCTTCTCAGTGGCGGGTCCATACTGGTGGAATGAGCTCCTGGAAGAGATCAGGGTCCTGCGGGATCTTTTACAGTTCCGCAGGGTCTGCAAGACAGAGCTCTTCCACCAGGCTTTCAACTATTACCACCAACAATCTCAATTATAGAGCCCTGGCCCTTGGCTTTGACATCTAGCCTGTGTCTCTGCTTGTATTAGGAAAATCAATGAGATGTTAGATCTTTGTATGTACTCTTACAGTACGCCATCTTAAGCAACTAATTAAACATTGCCAGCACTTTATGAATTGTTTATGAATTATTTATAATTGAACTGTTTTTAGATGATTTTATGTGGATTTTAACTGTTATTTATATATTAACCAGTGTAAGCCGCCCTAAGCCTGCTTTTGTGGGGAGGGCTAGGTACAAATAAAATAAATAAAACAATGAGATGTAGAGCTAGGTGTCCTCTGCATATTGATGACACCCAACCCCAAAGCTCTGAACAATCTCAATCAGCGGCATTATATAATTAAAGAGAATGGGTGAGAGAATAGAACCCTGTTGTATTCCACAAGACAAATCCCACCTAGTTGATTCTGCACCTCCAGTGAAGACCTATGTCTAGTCAGACAGAAAAGAAAAAGAGTGAAAGAATTTACACACACACACACACACACTTGTAGAAACGAAATCGTTAACATTTTCCTCTATTGCACATTAAGATACATGGAAGGCAGAATGAAAGGAATGTGGTGGCACTTCCAAATATCAGTGATATGACACCACCTATCTCATCAGCACAATCTTTATAAACAAATCCGCCTGCACCATACATTTAATTTGAAATAATATTTAATTGTGAAACCTTTATCCTGCCTTCACAGTTTTCTTCTGTTCATTCTTTGCAATGATTTCATCAAACATTTCTTATAATGTAAGCCAATAATATTTTCTGACTATTCCATCAGTTTGCCAAGTATGACCAGGTTCCATTGAGGAATAGTCTTTTACCTTAATGGCCTCCATTCTCTAGAACAGCCTCATGGAAGAAGTATGAACAAATTTGTCTTTTCTACAAGAAAGACTATTTTATTGGACTTCCGGTTCGGCACGGCACGGCAACGGGCGGTGCTTGGCTTGCTACGAGCCGCCCGATCCCTTCCTGCTCCTTTTGGAGCCTCCCAGTTGGCGGGAGAACTCTGCCAGACCTCCCAGAGAGAGGTCGGGAGCAAGGGGCTCTGTTCTGGCCCCTCCCGTAGCTGGCAACGCGGGGGGGTGTCCATTATTGCCCCGAAGCAGGAGAGGCTTGCGGAGGAGACCATGGACGTCATGTTCCACGTAGCCGCAGCCAACCATTCTTTTTAATTATATTTGTAAAGGACTTTTAGAAAAGATACAGCAGCACAGCACCACAGAAGGATAAATCTAAGAAAAGAACTGTGAGTATGTATAAATTGAAGCTTTATGAAAAGAAGATGACTAGTTAAAGACCTAGGAAACATCTTTCCCAAAATGGAGAAGAATAGCGGCCGGAGAGTGAGTGGGAGTGAATTATGTAGTTTTTTGCCCTCAGGGAAACTCTGATTTCTACACTCTGGCAAGGATTTATAGTAGACATTGGCTAGATGAATCATGACTTTCTATTGGAAATGACTTTTAGAATTTAAATGAATTAATTTGAATTTGGAAACAAAAATGGCATTAGTAACAGGGGAGGAGGAGGAACAACTTGATGAAAATACATTAGTGGGAGAGATCTCTGTTGAACAATTTTTGAAAATATTGAGAGAAGGAATAAAGAAAGGCTTTGAGGAAGCATGTATAAATTTAACACAAAAAGCATATAACCCTCAATTGGAAAAAGAAAATAAAGAAAACGTCATGGAGAACCTGGAATATTAGGATGAGAAAGCAGATGCTGAGACTTTACCCTCACCAACCCTAATTTTGGGAAAGAAAAGGACAAAATTAACTTATTTGAAGAAAAGAATATTAAAAAGGAAGGTGCAAAGACTATACTACAAAAGAGAAGATAATTGTAGAAGGAAAGGAAAAAAGCAACGGGCATGGAAATTTAAAAAGGACAGTGTAATATGTGAATATGATTGGTTGAAAGAGCAAAGGGGGAAGTTGAAGATAAATTGCCATACCTGCAAAGAAAAAAGACATATAGATATGCTGTTACAAAAAAAATAAACTGCAGATTTTACAGGAGGAAAATTAAATTATATGGAAGGGATGAAATGTTGCTCTTTGTTTGATAGGTTTTGCTGGAATGAATTGACCCTGAAAAACTGTTAGGATTTAAGATTAGTTTAAAGTTTATAATGCTGAGTGTTGGTAGATTTTAATTAGAAGGTGGTGGTTATAGCAGGGGTGGTGTAGGCTGAATGAGAGTGAATTGGCAATGTAAGGATTGATATGAATTATGATTAAGTTAAAGTTCATAGTGATAAGTATGTGTAGGTTTCAACTAGAAGGTGGTGATTATAATAGGGGTGTTTAATTATTTTGGAAAATTAAAATTTTAGTTTTATTATAATTAAGTCTTAGTAAATGTTAGTAATAAAGCACATAAAATAAACAATAATTTAATAACATTAAAATGGGTTTAAGTTTAGTAAAAATACATTTAATGTATGTATAATATGAAATTATAGGATGTTGAAGGTGAGTTTAGTAGATGTTGAACAAATAATAATTTTGTAGTTAAGTTGTATTTTTTTTGCTGATAGTTATATAAGGTTTGTTTTTGAAGAGATCAAGATGTGTAAGAGGAAGGTTAATGGAAAATTGTTGCTCTTTAGACACTGTAGTGGTTCTAGCTATGGATTGAGACTGCAGTGTAGGAGAATAGCTCCATTGAGATGGTAATATGAATTTGAACGATATTGAGGCTCATAATGAATAATGAAAAGTTAATAAAACAAAATTTAAAAATGTATAAAAATTTGAAAGCTTTAACTCAATTTATATTAAAATTGAGAAATTTAAAGGTGAATGGAGTAAATAGGAATCTTTAGTACTTGCCTTGAGAGGCTAAAGCTGATGTTGAATGCTAATTTGTTAAACTAAATATAAAATTAACAAGTATAGGATTATTGTTTAACAAACGAAGTAATTATATTTTGAAAAACATTTTCAATTGTTGGTTTGTACTCAGTTTGGAATTGTTCTGTGGACTGGATATAAGAAAAATGTAATTTCTATGTTCTGCTGAATTGCTGTAAAAAATTTCTAGGCTAGGTATTTAGATGGTGTTCTTGTTTAAATGTGTAGGACATAGATGATTATTATTTTGAAAACCCAATAAACATATTGTTAAAAAAAAGGAAGACTATTTTATTTAACTGGTTATTTGACTAAATATAATTACTGATTTTATGGTCCTTATGGTTGACTTGTACTGAAGGACAGATGACTGAAACTGCTGCAAGTTGTTTGTTTTAATTAGGTTGTCTTAATGGCTTGGATCCCACCTTGAATTTCTGTGGGTTTTCCTGATTCCTTGGGTCACAGAAATGCTAGGCAGGTCCAAGCCAATGTAATTTAGTCTTTGCTCAATGTATTTTTATTACTATTTGTAGTAGCTTCGTCAAACTAATGGAAGAAGCAGGACATAATTTTAAAACTAAATAAATACAGTAGTCAAGTACAGTAATGTAAACAATAATATGACCTAAAGGTATTATACTTACAGTAAGGCAGTGTTGGGTGGGAAGCCATTCTTCGGACATTACTGATTGCCTTCTTGATCATCTGTAAAAAGTATGAAATTAAACAGATACGCTGTAAAATTGCTGAGAAGCTTATTATAGTAATTGGTGATGCAAAATGAAGATCCTATCATGTTTGCTTTCCTTTGTGAATTTGGAGCTGAAATATGGATGAAAGTCAATGAAATCTTTCCCTCACCATTAATATATATTTAATATCAAACGTTAACCCGTGTGTGTGTAAACTTTTGTTTCACAGTTTGGATGATCTCAACAGAGATGCTCTAGACTGCAATCTTACCTCTTTCCTGGTCAATTCCTTTCTGATTCCATTAAATCTATTGGAATATTCCTGTATATTGTAAGGTAAGTAAGACAGGCAGAAGCATGTAAGAGAGAGGCAAACAAACTTTTTCAAAAATTAAGTAGGAAATGAAGGAATTAAGTTTTGCATATAATCAATCGCAGAAATGTTAAGTGTGAGTTATAGACATTATTTGGAACATGACTGATCTAAATAGCTCTTAATAAGCACATATTCAACAGACATTAAATAACTGAATTACAACTGCACAATATGATAATGGAATCTATATTTTTCAGAAACCTTTATTTAGATACACACCTGGATGAAAGTATTTGTAATGTGTCTTACTTCAATATGCCAATATAGATTAGTTAAGGTTATGTATACATCAATTGCTGGGAATAAATACTGAGCAGCAGCACATCCTTTCTCCATAACATCAAACTACTGAAAAATATGGCACTTCTACAATTATTGCTCAAACAGCTTAGGTGGCTAACAGCACAACTCATTTCCTTGAGAGAAAGTTTGAGCTCAGTGGTGTTTATTTAACTAGGTAGAAATAATATAAATGTCCTGAATAATAATCACTAAAAACATTTACATGTTATTCCTTCCTTTGTAGCCTCTATGCTCTCTCTCAGTGCCACTTAAATGAAAAAAGGAGCCAAATACCAAATGACAATCCCATGTGAAAGTAATGAAACTGGAAATCATAATAATAATGTAAAGTCATAGTAATGTAATAATAATGTAAACAATGTAATGCAATAATATTGTATTTTATTCATTTATACCTGGCCTTTCTCCCCCATGGAAACCCATAGCAGCTTATGCCATTCTCCTCTCCTCCATTTTATCCTCACAACAACCCTGTGAGGTATGCTAGGCTGAGAGAATGTGACTAGTCCAAGATCACCCAGTGAGCTTCTATGGCATGATTGAATTGATTGATTGATTTGAACCTGGAACTTCCAGATACTAATCCAGCACTGTTAACCTCTGGGTCTCAGTTAACATAACTGGGTCTCAATAATAAAGTTGGAAAAAGTAATAAAACTGGAAACCCGGGGTAGATTTTGAAAGCAAAAGAAAAGATAGGGAATATTCTCTAGATTGGGAAAATGTATCATGACAAACTACTCAAGACTTTGATGTGGACCCCTTTATCTTTGGGGGGAAAACATTCAGTTGGTGAGGACTTACATTGGATGCTTGTGATATGAGTGACACTTTAATTTTCTACTTGAATCGAACACTTGAATAAGAATAAAAGAGGTGGAAATTAGCGTTTAGTTAGGTGAGAATATGGCGACTACAGAGGAAACCGAAGGGGAGGAGGTTAATGAGGACACAAAAGTTGGAACGCTGACTGTGGAGCAGTTTTGGGCAATATTGTTAGAAGGGATACAGAAAGGGGTTGAGGAATCCCTGAAAAATCTCTTTGGAAAAAAGCAGATCAACATTAGGATCTTGAAAGCAAGGATGATTTGGAGTTTATGGGACAGAGTTTCGAGGAAGATCAGCAGAAAGAGCAGAACTTCGAGGATGACAGAGGAAAAAGTGTTAGAGAATATTCAAACTCTACCTATGACTAATGAGCAAAATAATACTAACCAAAGGACCAGCCAAAGAGACTCAACAATACGTTATTACATAAAGATAGAGAAGATGAAAAAGGGATTGAAAAGGAAAAAAGAGCAAATTACTTAAAGGAAAGAAAAGATGTTCTGTGTGGAAAATTAGTAAGGCTTACAAGACTGTGAAAATATTTTGGAGGAAAACTAGAGGGGAAAGTTTAGAAATAGAATTCAGTACACTTAGAGAGTTTAGACATGTGGAAATGGTTGCAAAAAAGAAGAGGTTACAGATTTCTAGAGGGGGAAATTAAGCTACATGATAGAGGTTGGAATGTTTTTGTTCCACTGCATGTTTAAGGGGAAACTTAGGACATAACAATGTACCTGCTAGAACAGGATGTTTTGAAAATTAGTGGGGGGAAACTTGAAGTCTAGAAGTAGAATGTAAAGGATAGAAAGTTTGTGTTTTCCTACTATATGTTTTAGGGGGAAACGAGAATATAACAATGCATTGGTTAGAATAGGATGCTGTTGGAATAATTTGCTGATAAATGAAATATTTTTGTTTTTTGTTTCTTTTTCCTGGATTTTAATTTTTTTTTAATTGAATGTGAAAACTTGGCATCACAGGTTATCTGGTAGATGTGGAATATGGGAACTCCCTTCTTCTTTCTGTTTGTTAAATATTGGAGTAGTGTATTTCTAGTTATTAACCTTATTCATAAAATACTAAGAAGTTGGGAAATATAAATGGAATTTAAAATTGTTTAAACTAAGCGTTTATAAAAGGAAGGGGGGAAATGAAAGTAAAAGTAAATATAAGGTGATATTTACATACCTTATGGATTAGTTAAGGTAATATATAAGAAAACAGGAGAAAGAAGAAATGAAAACTATTGGTGATTTTGGTGTTAGGTACGTAGTTATTAGAAAATTTGTCTTGGCTAGATAAGTGTAAAAATGAATGATGTGTGAGTTGGAAGACAAAAGGAAACCCCCCTCTCAGTGCCAGGTAAAGGTTGTAAGTAAAGAGATATCAAAGTAGTAGGTAGAAATAAATGACAAGGGAAATGAAGAATGGTTAGCACTTCTTATTAATATTTACAAAGTGATTTCCAAAATGGTTAAGTTAGAAAATAGGTTTCTTTTCTGTGTATGTGTTCAATAAAAGAATGTTATGAATGAGTAAATAGAGTAATAAGGTATACATTGTAAAACCTTACCTATTTAAAGAAAACAAAAATTAATTATGAATTATTATTTGTAATAAGTAAATGGACTAAAAATATATGCAAATATTTGAAACGGATAAATTTACTAGTCTGAAATGAGCGAAGACTTTTGAGTTACTCAAATTGAGGAACAAGTTTTATTTGGACGTGTTACTGTGTTGACTGTACATTGGGGATTTATGATGAATTCTATTGTTGTATGTTTGTTTGTTTGTATGTTTACTTGAAAACCAATAAATAGATTATTAAAAAAAGACTTTGATGTGGACCCATGAACAATCTGATTCATGCAGAACAAGAGTACACATACATCTATACAGTGTCTGTGACCACTGACCAGTGATAGCAGAGATACATAACCAGCTGAAACAATGAAAACCTGCACACAGAATTCTATTAATGTAAATGCACAATGGAGCATAGTCAACGTAACAGAGCAAGAATGTCATTTATTCTTTTCTCTGCCTAAATAATATAGGCAACCACATTTACTTTATAAAAAAGACCTCAGGCATGCGCAGGAACCCCCAACCATGCATGCCCAGAAGGGTGGGCGTGGACATCCCACCAGTTCCTTCAGACCACCACAAATCAACATCAATGAGAACATAGAAGCTGACAGCAGCGGGGAAGGAGGGCAGGAGGTGTGAATGCACAGATGACCATTTGAAGATCACCACTTACAGGTAAGCAACCTGTTTATCTTCGACGTGGTCTCTGTGCTTCACACCCATGGGAGAATAGCGAGCAGTGGCCTATCTGGAGGAGGGTGCTGGTAGGTCATTACTGCGAAGCCGAAGGTAAGATGTGACATCCCATGTTGGTACGAGAGTTCTTGCAGACATCAAGGGTGTAGTGCCTTATGAACGTATTAGGCGAAGCCCAGGTAGCGGCTCTGCAAATGTCCAGTAGGGGAACTCCCTGGAGGAAAGCAGTGGAGGCTGCAACAGCTCGAGTAGAATGAGCCCTGCTAGGGCCAGGCAATGGCTGCTTAGCAATAAGCTAGCAGAGGTGGATAAGACCTACACCTTGACAAATGCTAAGCCGTGATGCAAGTTCCCAGCTTGGCTGGAGCATAGGAAACGAACAGCTGACAGTCACGTCTTGTCGCACGAGTTCTCTGTAGGTAGAACAGAAGAGCACACTTTGTGTCCAATGTGTGCAGTAGCTTCTCCTCAGGGGATGTGGGAGAGGGAAAGAAATCCGGGAGGAAGACCTCTGTATGTAGGTGAAACTCTGACACTACCTTTGGCAAGAACGAGATGTCAGAAACAAGACGGATGCCGTCGGGCAAAAATGACAGGTAAGGAGGATCATGTCTGAATGCCAGTATTTTCCCCACTCGCCTCACCGAAGTGACAGCCACCAGAAATGCTGTTTTCCACTACAGGAATTTCAAGTCGCAAGTCGCGAGTGGCTCAAAAGGTTTTCTGGTGAGTTGCGAAAGTACCAAGCTCTTTAGCTTGGAGAAACGACGACTGAGGGGTGACATGATTGAGGTTTATAAGATTATGCATGGGAAAGAGCAGGTAGAGAAAGAGGTGCTTTTCTCCCTTTCTCACAATACAAGAACTCGTGGGCACTCCATGAAATTGCTGAGCGGTCGGGTTAGAACGGATAAAAGGAAGTACTTCTTCACCCAAAGAGTGATTAACACTTGGAATTCACTGCCACAGGAAGTGGTGGCGGCTACAAGCATGGACGGCTTCAAAAGGGAATTAGATAAACATATGGAGCAGAGGTCCATCAGTAGCTATTAGCCACAAGGTATAGATAGGGACTCGGGCAAGTGATGCTCTGTCATCTTGGTGCTTGGGGGGTCAACAGTGGGAGGGCTTCTAATGTCCTGGCCCCACTGGTGGACCTCCTGATGTCACTGGTATTTCTGGCCACTGTGTGATACAGAGTGTTGGACTGGATGGGT